TGAAACCCTGGTGTAGGGTAAGATCTTCTAGGCATTGCCAGTAAGAATATCAGCCCAAGCAGTCTCCTATTTTCCTGGCCTCCTTACCTACTGCCCTCAGCTGACAGTTTTGCCATGTGCTGTCCTATTGCCCTGCATCCAGCGATGTGCACAAGAATCTGGTTTGAGCCAAGAGCCTGAAATGTCTGAGGTACTGATATTCCATTTAGATACAGCCAGCATTTTCAAAGCTGACACTGGATTGTTCCTTAATCCTGGAGGTGCTTGAATTTTTACTCATCAAAATTTGCAAAGCCTGCCTTACATCTTATTAGCTGCTTTGAATCTTATCTCAAGGCGAGGCCCAAGGTGTGGTACACAAAGCAGGGAAGGGAATGCCTTTCTCGCTTCAGGGCCTCAACCCTTAGGCATGTGTAAAGCTTGTAATAGAAGGGGTTAGATGCAGGCCCCTGACATGTGGAAGGCATTTAAGTGCTTGCATAAAGGACAGGAGGAAAAAGGGGTTGAGAGGGGGAGTGGGTGAAACATCACGTATGAAACAACCCTGAAGAGCTACTGTGCATTGCTAAAGTAAGGAGCTACCTAAAGAGTTGCATTGGTGTCCAGCGCCTGTAGAAGGCAGACTACTGGGATCTCAACTGGGAGTCATCTCTCTGATCAGCTGCATCAGGAAATACTTCAGTGCCTCAGCCCTTATCTTCTCTCCTCTTTCTGGTATTTTAATATTCATCAGTTTTGATGGCTCCTCAGTTACCAAATTCTGTGTCCGGAGCTTGGGGCAGAAAATGTCAGGGGCTGCAGGCCGCATGCACTGCAACAGGAACAGAGTACACTCAAGTACTTCCTACAAGCCTCATCCCTGCCTCCCGATTGCTGGCCCATCCAACCACATTGTAACTTGCCTTCCAATTTGGCTCTAGTTGCTACCAGGCAGGGTTTCTGCTAATCATGCAGTTGTAACTAGCACTCCATGGCAACAATTTATCCTCCTCTTTGGGGTTCAGGTGGCCTACAGTCATCTTCCAGTAAGTGAATTGGAGTTTGGCATTTTTGCAGTGTATTTCTTACCATTTTGTACAAGTTTGATGACTTTGCTTTAGGTCTACCATGTAGTAAGACCTCCCCAAATACAGTTGTAACAGTGCTGCTGTTCTCTGCCCCACCTAGGTAAAGAGGCCATGGAATAGATGTACATGCTAAAAAGCAACAATACAAACGCTGGCGAGACACATGCAGTGTGCGTACCTACACTTATTACAGCAGAGAAACAAGTTAGATTCTAAAATTATGTTGAATTAGTTTTAAAAACCCCAAACAAAGTCTGAAAGAACTGAGAATTACATTGATACCTTTTTTAATTAGCAGACGAGAGGGCAGGCAAAGTGGAAGGGTTTAGATTCACGGCCAAGTTCCCCCGTTTGCTAGTGGGATAGCAATAACAGTGTCATCACTGATGTTTTGCACAACGTGTCTCAGGTTTAACTACATATACAATACCTTATCCCCTGAATCAGTAAAAGAAACAGGCAAGCACCAACTAGAAGTAATTTTGTTCCATTTCTCTTCTAAAAATGTACCACAAAGTTCACGAGCTTATCTTTCTAACATGAAACTTGTCAACTGCCCTTTTAAGTGACTCCAGCCCTGTAGCTTTGAAGCTCCATAAGGCTGTGGGGCACAGAGCTCAGCAGATTTCTCAGGAAATCTTGTATATATGTGGGGGGGGGGGAAGGGCAGTGGTGGCATGCAATGATTGTGGTCTCACTGTAGCTTTTTGCAGCCATTTCCAATGTCACAGTGACCTGCAGTTATCTGAAAAGGAAGTTTCCAGCTGCAAGTATCTTTAATTTGCAACTTCTACCTCCTTACTGAAAGAAGCGTGCTGGGACCGGTATGTATGCATCCCTGTTAAAGTTGTGTGGATGCTTTTTTACATTCTTAAACACTCAGGTTACGAGAGACCTCTGATCTCGTGGTGATTGCAGAGGAACTCTAGTTAGGTTTGCCTTCCACAGCTAATGAGTGCTGCTGAAACAAGTTTTATACTTCAGCAATGGGATGCGTAGAGTGGAACTAGAGATGACTCAGCAGTTAGCTAAGGTTGTTTGAATAGCGATATAAACCATGCCTGCCACTAGGAAACAGTCCACAAAGGTCATACCAAGTGCCTAGCATTTAGGCACCACTACCCTGGTGATAGGAATTCTCATAAGACACTCATGTTTTTTAGACCAAGCATCATTCTATTTGACATTTGGATATCACCATATTAAATACCCCGTATTTGGTATCTGGGTGACAGGGAAGAATGCTTGACATCATCAGTACTATTCACAGTGAGGCATGCCTGCCAGATTGACAGATGCTGCTCTCTCCCCATCTAGGGGAGTTAGGCACTAAAATTAGTAGCTATTAAAGCAAGCACACTGAGTAAGGATCTGCTGAATCTCATCAACAAGAAGTAGAGGCAGAGGTAAGGAGTCATCACTGCTCTTTCTACATGAGTTTGGGCTGTAACTCACAAACAGGGACAGCACAACTTACAAAATGACTGCCCCTAGGGCGGAGATGGACAAATTGCTCAAGGATAACCAGGTGCTGAGCCATGGCAGATCACAGCACACCCCGTTAAAGCAGAGGAAAGGCAAGGACAACCTTCGCCAGTTACGACTTAACCCTGACAGCTAGTGTGTATGTGTGTGGGGGGGGTCAGGCCAGATACACGATGTGCGAGACAGTTCCCAGGTGACTCCCAGGCACTGCTTCTCACAAACAGCCCTAGAGAGGAAAACATTTACAAACAGACCTGGAGAGGAAACAGTTTATAAGCTAAAACTCATTTAGGGTTCAGCTCTGTTGCCTCTGCAACCACAGGAAACAAACATACCAGCCCCACTTGTGAATCATAGCTTTTGGGAACTTCACCTTGAAGAATAGGAAAGAGTCTTTTTTCAGGTAGAATTGATCACTTTAATCCCTTCTGCTGGGATCGTTGCCTAAGATCCTTCATTTGCCAAAAAAAAAAACCAACTCAGGAAAAAGCAGCACAATAAGAAACACAGCCGCTTGTGATGGTTCCACCCTCCCTCCTTCAATTGTTCAGTGGTTTAACATTCAGCCTGAATGCTGCAGACCTACTTTTAATTCTCTCTTCTAGCTGAGAGGATTGAAGGCCACATTGTTCCAGCCCTCCACTCAAGTGGCCTAGCTACAAAACAACTGAATTACTAATAATAAAAAGAGAAAGGCATCCCCCCACAAATGCCTTCATGTTCTGCTGACCCACTTCAGTGAGAACACTTGGAAACTCTGCGTGGCTCTTAGGGTTTTGCCAGGAGTGAGAACTGCAATTAGTCTCTAAAACCAGTGCTACTGGTTCCAGGCAGACACAGACTTCAAGGCACCTTCTGCATCAGAGATGAGTGGGGGTTTAAAATGTCTTTGCAAGAGAAATCCCAGGCCTCTGAATTACCCACCAGAAGTTCATTTTTATCAGTCTCCCTGACATGTTTTTATGAGCATTAAATCCCACTAAACTTGGGAGAGTAAAACAAAGACTGTCCCCAAGGCAAGGGGAAGAACAATAGCATTAGTGAATTGCGGTTCGTCATCACAAGACCAAACGGCATATAGGCGTTGCTATATGGCAACATCATCGCCCTGGCGCAGAAGCGAGAACTGGGGTTTAACAACTGGCTTTTATTGCTGTAGATAAATACCAGCTGCCTCATTCTGAGCATCAACAGTTTAGTCTGTATCACAGGTTTTAGTCTTTCATATGTAAACAAAGTTATGCAAACCTATAAATTTGAATGGGGAGGGGGTAGTTTTTCAAAGCTGATCTCACAAAACAAGGGTGCTTACTGAGATGCCAAGAAATGAAATGCATGAGTGTGTATCTGGTTTGTTACAAGGAAGGCCTTACATCCCTTTGAAACCCAATCTTTTTCAAACATGCACCACTTGTGCGTTTGAACATCCATGACTGTAACAACGGCTGGCAGATCCGTCTTTTTGCTCACTTCTGTAACGAATGAATTCGATTAGTGCCATACAAAAGCTGCAATTTGAAGAATCCCAACAGCACTAGTCCTTGTTGTGGTAGGAGCGGAGCTTCTGTGGGAACTGAACTGGCCATGCTTTCCTCGGTACACGGCAACAAGCGAGCTCTTCGGGAGACAACAACAAACTTGTGCTGCGAACCGTTTGCCCTTCAGCCAGGCCAGCGCCGGGAGCTGCGATGCCACCTACCGATGAAGCTGGGAACTGGCCTCAAGCCCCGGGCCGGCTCCCTGGAGAGCAAAGCCAGGCCCACGCTTCCGAGCAGAAACGGCACAGCTTTTTCTCACTAGTACCAGTGAACGACTTCTACAGCACTGTCCGTCTCAAAATACGACAGCCTTCGTAGATTACTCATGGAAGGACAGTGTGTTTCTAAAACAAATAACCACTGCCCTCTAACGAAGTTTATTACAAGTTCAGTTCAGAAAAGCAGCCTACCAAGAAAAGTCAGCACTCTCGATTACATCTGTAAGATTTAAAATGTTTAATGTGCAAGTCCTGGACAGAAATTATTAATTTACAGTGTAGTAAAATTTGAAGGGTGGCGTTTCTTCATTGTATGTGTTCACAGCAGCAAGTGAAGTTGCTGAAGTACAAACATCAGTACACTTAAGTGACTTATGCTTCATTTTTAAGGCAAAAATATGTAACAACATGACTGCATATAGCTGCAAAAATATTTACAGATATGATTAAACAGTCCACTTCAAGCATGAAAATTTTAATGATGTGCTTAATATAGCAGTGTTTTATTTGAAAAGCTACCATCAAAACTGTGAAATGAATCTAGCTAGGGTGAGTAGCACTGATATTTTTACTTGGGCCTGCACACTCACTGATCATTGTCTCTAAACCTGTATCACTGTAAGCTGTGCTCCTTCCCTGTCCATGTCCAGTCTTACTACAAATGTGCAAGTGTGTCTGAGCAGCCCCAGAGTCCACACAGGTAAAAAGCTGGAATGCTAAAAATGTATGCAAAAGATCCCAACAGGAAAAAAGAGAAAACAGATCCTGAGAAATAAAATTAATGGGGGAGGGGAGGGGGGAGGGGAGGAGGAAAGCTCTCTGCAGTTATCTGGGGATCTGCTCAGTCATCCTTGTCTTTTGCTCCATGTTTCAGGATGCGTGTGAACTCAATATAGTTGAAGTTCCCCTTTTTGTCAATGGGTGCCTCCCTGTACAGCTCATCTACCTCCTCATCTGTGAACCTGTCTCCCATTGTGGTGAGCAGCTCTCGCAGGTAGTCTTCTTGGATGAACCCTAGAAAGAAACACAAAAAGGAAGCTTTTCTTAGCTGGGCCTTCAAGAGCAGTAAGACAAACATACCGACAGACATGCAATTAACTAATGCAGTGGGCAATATATGCATTTGCACCAAGAGCCCAAAATACTTTCTTACCTGGATTCTAAAGAAACTCCTTGAATGCAAAGGGGAGGAGATGGAAGTTTAATGCAATTCATACAGATTTTTGAAAAGAGGGCCTGATCTGCTGTGATCCAGTCACACCTATTTCCATCCACTGATCTTTAACAGCTGAAAGTGGAAAAACAAGTTCCTGCCACTGCTAGTCTTCATTACAAAAGCTGTTCTCTTAATTCAATTATATTTTTCTTGACTTAATTAGATATATTTGCATATGCTCTATAAACTAGTTTCCTCTGGGGACTAAATAACCATTGGTTGGCTCTTCACTCTGCACAATACTGTTACTGGAGGCGGTTTATGCGGATACAGAGTGCTGCTGGCAAGCGTCCAGGGACAGAGTTTATAACAGAAAAGACTTTCAGACAGGATTGAGCAAGTTAACTCAGAAGGGAGGAAGAATGTTTACTGTGGAGACGTAGAGGTAGAGAAGCTAGTAATAAAAAAGGTACGATATATTAAGTTATTTATGCTAAAATATTAGCAGATGATTTTGGAGGAAAGCAGTTGCTAAGTATGTCCTGTTAATTCAATTTCAATAGACGGGCAGAACCACTAGTTGCCAAACAATTCCAGGAAAGTTTTGAGATGAAAAAAAGGAATGCACATAGCAAATAGTAGACAGAAGAATGCAGAAACCAATTAATGATGAAATAAGACCGAACGTGCCTTTAAATGCACAATAGTTGCTTCATTTGAGAAAGAAATTGGTTATTGAACTTCAGTTGGAAAAACATCAATAACTGAACAGAGGAGGTAGAAGTATGTTCCAAAAAAGAATGTGTAAACTGTGCAGAGCAGCTGGAAATCATATGTAGTCACCCACATCAACTGATGTAGATTCAATTAGAATGTGATTTAAAAAAAAAAAAAAGCAGCTCTGCTTTGGAAAGAGAGTTGAAGAACTGTTGTGGTTTAAGCCCAGCCGGTAACTCAGAACCACGTAGCTGCTTGCTCACTCCCCACCCTTCATGAGTGAGCGAGCGGCTGCGTGGTTCTGAGTTACCAGCTGGGCTTAAACCATGACAATAACTTAAGCAAACAGAGTTCATTAGAGAGACAAAACCAAAAAGGGAATCAGGGGACTGAAAGGCAGTCAGTGAACATGGCAAATTATCATGGGATTGGTGTATGCTGCGGGGAAGGGAAAACGTGTTTCAACATATGCTAATTAAACCAGCATCATATCCCAATGTGGGCAAACCCCTGACTGCTGACTCCAAATGAAGAAGGCTAACAGCAATGTTCTACTTCAAGAATGGGGAGAATGTTCAGTTAGCCAGGCTCATCTTAATCAGGTCAAATTCCAGAGCTGTCTCTTCGCAGATGTGCGTAAAGAAGGGGGAAAAGCAGCGAGACAGATTACGCTCTCTGTTTCTGCAGTGTACAGAGATCAAGTGCTGAGAGATGACAAAAGGATTAGTATTCAAAGAATGCAAGACTTTGGTGCTCCAAGTTTAGCCTCAAGGAGACAGATTGCTCCTGTCTGAGCAGCTAGGTGTTCAAACACTGAACTAGGTTGCTAGACTAGGAAAACACTGGCAGTCTTAGCAGCACCAAATTGTAAAGCAAACAGCAAACCCGCTCTCCCTCACACACAGCTTCAGTGTAGATGGGAGTAACAAATTAATGAAGCAAAATTTAAGATTCAGCCTGCAGCAGACAGCACAAAACAGATGACAACGCAGGATCAAAGATCAGACAAAAGATATAACAAATGCAAACAGATATAACTTTTATAGTTATAATTTATAGTTATTTATAATAGTATAGTATAATTTCATAGTACTACACACGATAGTAATGCTAATGCAATATATGCAACTAGATTTGCAATATAGGAAATGTAAGTAAAAACCAGCAAGTACAACTACCTTATCCTCATCAAGAGGATCTGGTTTGTATCATTCTCTTTCAAAAGAACTAGAAAATTGGGCCCATGATACACACAAACACTTGTGGAGTGTGAAAACAAAACCAAAAAGGTTTGACATAACTGGGAATGCTTTTGCTTATTTTTTAAAGGAACAAACTTATAAGCCAACTTGAGAATAAAATGAATAAAAGGCAAACATAACATGGGTTCTACAAATACATCACATTATTTTGAAGACTGTATTTTGACTGCTATGAATCAAAAATCAATAAAACAGCATAACTATCTAACATGTTTCCTGGTTAACATTTGAGGATGGTGTAAGACACAAAAGAGATTGTGGAACCATTATCCTCAAATCGTCCTAGGACTAGACTAAAACATTTACCACACAGAGCTGAAAGATAATAAAATCAATCTTATCAGTACATGGGGGCCTGAACTAGTAACTTATTGTTTACATAGACGTAGAAGGTTACTGTTCAAAAGAACTGTTAGCACAATCATTTTCTTTATATCGTAATTTGCAGGCTCTGGTTTTGGTGCACACAAAAAACCCCTGTAGCACAGTGAGTCAGACTACCTGTGGAGAGAAAATAATTAACCTACTAACAAAACTTCCTTCACTAGGAGATGGTAAAGAGATTTTCCTTGAGAGGGAGGAAGTCAATTAACATTTGAAAAGGCCTTACCAACAGAAA